CCCGGGGGAGGCCCCTGCCGCCGCTGGAAGGCGACCCGAGGAGCTCTGCCGCGAGCGACAGGACCCGGGCGCCGGAGAGGTTGGGACTGCGAAGGATGCGGCCATAACAGGTGACATTCCAATAACGACTATCCCCCCTGTTGAACCTCACTGTGATAGCGGTCAAGAGACGGCAGCCGCCCCTGACCCTTCCTCTGTTGATCCACCCTCAGAGCAATCGATTGATCGTATTTGTTTGATGTTTGCTGACGTGACTTCACTGAAAAGCTTTGACTCTCTTACAGGCTGCGGAGATATTATTGCGGACCATGAGGAGGATGTGGGCGGCGGGAGTGGCGGCTGCGAGAAGAGCGCCCCTGGGGCCGGCAAGCTGGGTGCCTCCAAGAAGCACCCCACCATGCTGGCCTACCAGGGAGGAGGGGAGGAGATGGCCAGCCCGGACCAGGTGGACGACACCTACCTGCAGGAGTTCTGGGATATGCTGTCGCAGACAGAGGAGACCCAGACAGAAGGAGGAGGAGGTGGAGGAGGGACAAAGAAGCCCGAGGGGTTGAAGGAGAACCGAGGTACCGAGGGGGCCCAGAACAGGGTGGTGGTAAAACGTGGTGGCCTCCACCAGATCCCCATTCACCTCAACCACAAAGAGGAGCAGAAGGGCAGGGAGAAGGAGCAGCATGAAGGAGTCCCAAACAGCGACGAGGGCTACTGGGATTCCACCACCCCTGGTCCCGAGGAAGATGGTTCCACAAGCATCCAGAAGGAGACCATTCCCAGGGACAGCTACAGCGGGGATGCTCTCTACGACCTCTACACCGAACCGGATGAGAACCCACCAGCGGGGCCTACGGATGAAGAGGTCACCTGTGTGCCACGCTCCAAGCCCGTGTCTCCAATAACGACCACGTGCTCACTGAAAACACCCTCAAGCACACTGAAGGACTCCAAGATACCCATCAGCATTAAACACCTTTCGTCGCATCCTGCCAGCCTGCATGGAGCAGATGCCAGTAACAGCCATCATGTCGCACACCATCACCTGGCCAAAAGCGAGATGCACAGAACAAAAATCCCCGTCTCTAAAGTACTGGTACGCCGGATCAGTAACAGGGGCTTAGCAGGGACAACAGTGAAAACTGCCATGTACCAGGACAGTGCCAAAAAGTAGTTGAATAAGAGGTGGAGACAAAGACAGACAGCGAGGTCGGTGTGTGAAAGTCTGCGTAGGAGACCACAGATAATTAATTAGTTTTGCATCACCTGAAGAAAGGCACCTAAAAGGCTTACTTCACTGTACTCCGTGGGCCTGCACTTCTGAATCCCTTCTTACTAGACTGTATGGCTGAATATAAAAAGTCGACTTCTTTTTGAGCACTTTTTTTTACATTTGTATCTTTTTTCTGCAGCACTGAACACTGGGGAGGTTCATTTTTACATGCCTTTTTGGAAGCAGGACTTGGATTATGAACCTAAATGAGCATCCTTCCTCATGCAAAGCAGTGCCATGAGTTCTTCAAGGGAACAGAGTTACAAAAGGAGCGACACGAGAGGTTCTCCAATACACTTATCTTTTAATCATTTGTGGGGGAGGAGTGGAGGGTGGGTGCCTGGCTCCGTAAATGGTGTTTGCTCTACAAGATGTTGGGAAAAATGCCAAGCAAAAACCAACCAACCTAACAGGTATTTTACCTGCTGTAGGAACGAGAGCACTGCTCAGCAGCAGACTTGATTAACTTGTGTGCGGTAGCTAAGGAGTTATGTGGACTTTTCTAACAGGAAAACATATTTTCGTTTGTCTGTCTGGTTGGTTTTGATCTGGTCTAATGTAAATGGGTAACAGAGACACCTGACATAGGTTCAGATGTTTACATCAATACTTGTCTGATAATGCATACAATCAGGTTCAGGGAAACATTTTACTAAATGCCAATATATACACACTGTTCACATTTATACAATAACTTGGTCGCCATGTGTAAATATATACATATTTTAGCAGATTTACTCAATGCTACAGATTTTTTATAAAAAAAAAAAATCACCCGTCTGTATTATCTAGAGTTTAAGCAAGAGTTAGTTTTTATAGGTAGATAATTTTACAGTTCTAAAACAATAGAACTTTGTGTAAGTACCTTAAATTAGAGCAAAACTCTGTTTTGTACGGGCTCATGCATCCCCAGATAAGTGAGTCTGAAGTGCTGATTTTATTCCAGTGGCACATTCCGTGTGTCAGAGCTGAGGTTCTGACAGCATTGCCACTGCAAACCTCTATTTTCAGGGGTTTAGACAAAGTTGCTCTGGGCTTAAACCTTACAGAGAAGGAACCCAGGAAAGAAACAGGTTTTTTAATTATTATTTTTTAAAGTATATAAAATTAGTTTTTGACTATTTAAAGAAAGTTTGGGTTCTCGTTGCTTTTTATTTTCATTCTTAATAATGTCAGAATAATTTTACTTTAAGAGAGAAAAAGAAATATGGTAAGCTAGTGGTACATAAAATGATCTGATGAGCTTGGATCTTATGAGAAATGTATTAATGGCCAGGACATTTTTGAATAGTGGCTACTGTACATGGGCATTGACAACATTTCAAAGAAATTTAATAGGGTTTTAATGTGCCTGAGGACATATTTTTATGATACACTGAAAAAGCTCCAAAAATCACTGAAGTCTAAAGGTAAATGTTATGTATTTACAAAATATTTTGGTATAAGTATTTAATCATCAGACCACAGTTAATATAAAATATATGCTTCAGTGTTTCTGAATAATAATATACATTTTAAAAAACACATGTCTATATTATGCAGAGAATCCTAAATTCACATCACTGAAGCTAATGGGTCTGATCTTACATAGCAGTTGGTTTTATTGTCTCTTAAATTGAAAGAAAAAAAGGAAAATAAATATACAGAATATACATTTGAAGGATATTAAGGTTATAGATAAACCATAAAAAGCCAGGAAATACAATAATAAGAATTGTATATATGTATGTGTGTGGTTCACTGGGGAAATGACCTTATAGTCACAAGGGTAAAATTGGCATCTAGTTCTGAAATTACTGCAGGATTTAATACCGAACTGCAGTGCCCCAGTGAATAGAGAGAAGGGGTTAGTTTTCCTGATGAGTCCGTTTTCATGGTTTGAGTAAGAACCTTAATACGCTTCAAAGATTATTTTATATGTTTTCTTTATAACGTATATGTGTGTGGTTTTCTACATGCCTAGTCACACAGACGTGTTGTACATATGCATGTGTAGTCAGAACGCTCCTCCTCCTCGAGTCCATGCACACAGGTGAACACGCACACCCGTGCATGCTCGCATCCATGCGAACACGGCCACGTGTGCACTCTCCCACGCACAGACTGAGGGGATGTGCTGTAAATCTGTCTCTAAACACGCTGGCGGTGATCTCCTTTGCCTGAGAAAGGGATTTGCATTTGGCCTGACTCTGCTTGTGCATTTTAGAAAGTTCAAGCTGAAATAACCTCAAAAGGATGAATGTACAGAACATGGAATATTATCCTGGTCCTGAGCCCTAAACCTAACATTCCTTTTTCTGTTCTTTCGTTTTCATCTGACTGTAAGGGACACATCTTTCCTTGCATGACAACTCTGCAGAAAAATCGTAATTCCCCATTTTGTTTTCCAGACAAATTGTGCAGAGAGATTCTGTAGGGTACTGGAAGTTGAGAGGGAGGGAGGATGTGGTGAGTTTGGGGTAGTACCATAAAGACTGGAAGCACTGAGTACAGGTAGTAGGAGTGGTGCATGTTTAAAACCACTAGAAGATATCAGCTGCCATCTCTACAGGACTTGTGTGTGGCAAATTACTCATCATATGCATTTTGTTTGCATTGTGGCATGTCTGTATCGAGAAACCAATAGAGTGACACTAGACTAGCGCTCTCTCACGTAGTGACTAACACAAGTCATCATTAAAATGCTTTGGATTCCCTTCATTTTTCTCTCTCTCCTTTGTTTTCTGCCCCGTTTTTCCTCTGTTCTCTGCATGCTGGCGGGCGGCATCCTCCTCGGTGCTAACCCCCGGTGCGGAGCAGGGAGCCCTGGGCTGGCAGGCGAGCGCATGGTGGGAGGGCGGCCGTGCTGCCTGCTGTGGCCAGGTGCTCACCAGTCGCTCTCTCAAGCTTTCCGGGGAGCCCTGGGCTGGCAGCTGAGCGCAGGGGGGGAGGGCGGCCGTGCTGCCTGCTGCGGCCAGGTGCTCCCCAGTCGCTCTCTCAAGCTTTCTATCACATACCCAGTGGAAGAACATTTTGCAAATCTCTTGGCGGTTCGTTTGGCTGATTGCTGTGTACGTATTTTAAGGACAATCATATCCTTAAAAGGAAAATGGGAAAGTAGCTTGTCGTAGGGCGTCAGTATTTTGAATCATTGCGACATACTGACGTTGATTCAGGGTAATGGTTGTGTGAGAGTGAAAATACAATTTAATGCTCAAATTAACTTTGTATTTATAAAACTCGCTTTTGTCTTTAAGCCATCTATGTTTTTTATTTCAAAAGGTAATAGAAAATTTAATATTTACTAGGGCTTTCAATTTTCATAGAAATATATTTGTATAACTCCACACAATGCCTAAAACAATCATTGGAAGGAGGTTCAAAGGCTTTCTTTAGACCTGTATTTAATTCCTGAAAGATCCCTGTAAAATACTGTGAGATGCCTAAGAACAAACAGTTAATGACTTGCTGGATTTAAAGGCTGAGACATAGAGGCAATAGTCCTGAGGCATTTTGTGGTGGTTTGCATTCTTATTTATGTTACCCTGTCAAGCATCTATTTTCCTTGGCTTTGGTAGGTATCAAGGTAGAAATGGTGTTCTGAGTCCCAAAGATAACATTCCCAATGCTGTTGTCGCTTTGATTTTCTTAAAGAATACTTTTCTTTATTTGTTTTATTTGTTATTTTGTGGTCTGAATGATGCTTTGTAATTATCAGCTTGTATGTCATTCATAAAGGATTTTCTAGATCAGGACTTGGCATTTAGTTATATGTACTCGTTGCACTTCCAGGTCACTGCTGGTAATTTTGTATGTTCTTAGGATATTTCTATATATTGCGTAGTGTTTTATAGCTATCTACTGTGATTTTGGTGGTATACATTCTTGTCCTATATATCAGCACAAAAGATTTCCTTTCGGTAGCATGAAATGATGTTTTTGTGGACTTCTTTTGTCATGATAGGAGTTAAGTTTCCTGTACTATATGTGTGGCCTGCAACAGACATAAAGGGTCTTCTTTTCCCTGTAGTGCGTATGCATTTTGCTCTTGCCAGTAACAGGACTCAAACACACGTAATAGATTTCAGAAGAAATTCCATGACTAGCATAAGAAAAATTTATGTCCAGTCTTATTCCATCAATCACCAGCATTTTCTTCATCCACTGTGAATATCCTCACCGCCATTCAGGGTAGTAGAGGACTGAATTTTAAAAATTCCATGCATAGACGTACACTATGAAAATTAATTCACTGATTATTTTTTAATGAATCTTACTAAATTATTTATCTAAGCTAAGCGAATATTGCACCAAAGTCTTCAAAACGTGTGATACAGATGGCATTTCCAGTAAGATGCTGTAAGTGCAGATGAGCCAAATTAACAGGCTTTGCTTAGCAAAGCAAAACCTAGTTGTTTCTTAAATTTGTAGTACTGACTGAGCTTGCAGATCAAAGGGAGCCATTGATTCTGCTACATGGCTGTGCTCAGAGGGTTTTTTTTCCTTGCTCTAATGGACTACTTTCAGAAAAGGCTTTTCAGCAAGATAATGGTATGAAAGAGACAGTTCACAGTAACAATAGCCACTTACAAGGCAGATGGTTATCTAACAGCCATAATGGGGGACTCTAAGCAAGGTGGCCTGAAAATGTATTTTCATAGTTATTGATATGAAAGGCTGAGGCTTCTGTCTTGGAAAAACAAATTGACACCAACTCAAAAGACGCTGCAGAAATGAGTCTTGGCAGAGTTTACACATGACAGCTTCTGCAGGGTTTTATTTATTTATTTATGTTGGCTTTTCCTTTTTTGTTGTTGTTGGTTTTGCTTTGTTTATGTTTTCATTTCATGACATAACCCCACGTGTCCAGGCAGAATTGCACAGCAACTGACTCTTCTGAGATTCAATGCTGAGAATACACTGTCAGTTGTCTTCAGTGGCCTGGGACTGGTCCCCTCTGAACAT